AATCCTCACCACAGCTGGAGGGATGGCCGGGCAATCCCTCTGACAGAGATTGCTTCCAAAGCTCCTGCTCTGAGCCAAGGCAGTGCCCCTGGCCTTGGAGCTCCTCAGCCCAGCACTTCTGCTTCCTTCTTCCTTCACCTGAGCCACGTGGCCGCAGGGCAGTGCTGAACGCTCTTCCCTCCCCAGGTCTGGGCCCTGGTCCGGCTGGCGCGCCGATACCTGCAGAAGGGCTACACCACTCTGCTGTTCCACGAGGGGGACTTCTGCTGCTCCTACTTCCTGTGGTTTGAGAACGATATGGTGGGTGTGCCAGGGCCCTGGCAGGAAAGTCCTGAAGTGCTGTCCATTGCTGTCACCCTCGGATTCCTTTCTTCTGAACTGTGTTCAGTCTATCTGTCCCTCATCTCTTCTTGTCCCTGGTGGAATGACAGGTAAGTATAGCAATGGGGTCCCAGAACCATGGTCACATTATCACGCCAGCATTTAAGTTTGCTTCGTGATCACCTGCTGCCCAGCCAACTTGTGCCATTGCTCAGGCAGCGTCCTGATGAACACACGAAGAGATAGTCCCTCTGAGATGGGCCCTCAGATCACAGCTGGTACCTCTGTAGTGCTTCACATTCTCGCTTCTGTATAAAGTGGGGTGCGCTGTCACTCCCATTTGGTAGGTGGAGGTTCAAAGGGGTTAACAGCCTGCCTGAGGCGAAGCTGCCACAGCATGGCGTGGGTCACAGATTCTGCTGTCCACAGCGCCTCTCTCCCCTTTCCTTTCCCTCTCTTTCTCTTAATGTTTTCTCCTTTCTTGTCACTTGGCATCATTATTCCAGCTCCAAGGATCGTCCCCTCCACCCCACAGCCCCTTGGTTTCTTGTCCTCATGCTCCAGTCTCCTACCTGCTCAGGTTGCCCACCCACCCCTTCCATAACTCTGTGTACTTTGGGGGCCTCCACCCTTGTTCCCTCCTTCAACCCTCACAGTCCCATGTAGTGGGTGGGGCAAGCTGCCTTGACCTCATTGTGTGATGCTCATGCTTCAGGGATCAAAAGCCATGACCAAGGCCATCGAGGCCTCAGTGATGAAGCCAGAACCAGAAGCTACTCTCAACAACCTGCAGGCTCTCAGCTTAGCCCTCTGCCCTCGGGAGTGCTGGAGAGCTCCTTGACCTTTACCTGAGCTGTGAGAGACACAAGGAAGCGTGTGCTGAGGGGGCCTTAGGAGTGGTAGAAAGCAGCAGAGCTGTGGGGTGGGAGGCCCAGGACAGGCCACTGGCCACAGCACTCAACCTGGGCAGAGTGGACAGTCCCTTAACACTGCTGGGCCCGACTCCTCACCACAGGGTGGGCCTCTGATGCCAGGTGAGCATCACGTGAGAGCTGCTGTAAGAGCACATGGCGGTGCCTCGCATGCTGTCCATGTCTAGGGATCCCAGTTTCCTACCTTATCCCAGCATGGAACTCCTAGTTCCTTCAAAGCAGAGACTTGAGCCTCTTAAGAGCCTCAAAACCCGGCCCAACACCCCCGCCCCCACCTTGCCCTCCCTTGGCCTGCTGGGTCCCGCAGGTCCAGGTGCCACATTCTCTCCGAGGTTCATGCACGGACTGTTCCTGCACCTCACAGGGCAGGAAACCAGGTAGAGAGGTGTATTCTGCAGCACTGAGCACAGCAGGGCCACGCCAGGCTCCCTCGAGCCGGGTTCCTCGCCCAGCCCACCACCTTCTGTCCTCAAGACCCTCCTTTTCCTTCCACAGGGCTACAAGCTGCAGATGATTGAGGTGCCTGTCCTCTCCGATGACTCAGTCCCCATTGGTGTGCTGGGAGGTGACTACTACAGGTGACACTGACTCAGGGTGCAGGATGTCCGTGTTCCCAGATGTCAATGATTTAGGGCACCCCCGTGGGGACAGTTCCTCCAGAATTGCCCCATTCCACCCCAAGAAGCTAAAAACTTGGGCTGGGGCCCCTTGCAGGCTGGCACAGCAACCTGTGAGGGAGGAAGCACCAGAAGAGCCCCCTCGAGCCCACCCACCCTGATGCGGCACAGTCTTGGTAGCACAGGGAGACCCTCCATGTGGACCCAGAACTTCCCTGCTGACACCTCTTAATTAGAATGCGACCGGCTGAGGAGGGAGGACCTTGAAGAAGGGACCATGACCTGGGACCAAGCCTAGAAGCTTAGGTCATGAGGAGCAGGAGACAGAATCACCGGCCTGGTGCTGGGGCCTAGTGAGAGGACCAAGGGTGGGTGTCTGGGTGCTTGTGTGGCCCAGAGAGGCCTCTGGCCTGGGAGGACTGTCGTCGCTCACTCCTGAGTCTTTGTCCTCCTTTTCCCTCTTAGGAAGCTCCTGCGCTACTACAGCAAGAGCCACCCAACGGAGGCCATCAGGTGCTACGAGCTGCTGGCCCTGCACCTGTCAGTCATCCCCACCAACCTGCTGGTGCAACAGGCCAGCCAGCTAGCCCGGCGCCTGGGGGAGGCCTCCCGTGTGCCCCTTCCCTAGGCCAGGTTGCAGGCTGCTGCCAGGGCACCTGTTCTCCAGCCATCCCTGCTTGCAAAAGTGCCCCACCCCATAGCAGAAACTTTTCTTCTGTCCCCAGTAGCCTCCTGAGGATGCGAGGAGGCCCCAAGGTTTATCACACCCCACTTGGATCACCTCCACATGGGGTGGTGAACAAACCCCTAAATCCTGCCCTCTAGAGGCAGAGGCTTTGGGCTTCCTCTTTAAAATAGTGGTGGCTGTGAGGTCAGAGACGGCAGCAGCTCCTCTTTCAGAGCTGCATCCCCACTTGTCCCCAGAAGAGAGGGAGGAAGACCCTAATGCTCGGGCTGTCTGAAGACCGCCCTCTGCCTCTGCTGTTCTGAGCAGAAAAGCCTGTTTTCTGCCCCAGATGAAAGGTACGCCATTGGCTGATTGAGTTCCACCTCTGCAGCCTCGTCTGCAACTCGGGGCATTTTCAACACTGTTCCCCCACATTTCAAGTAATGACACCCCCCCTCAGGTGGCTGAGAGGGTCACCCAGCACATGATAGGTGCTTAATAAATGTCGGTTGTTGTCATCCTCCAAGCCCAGCATGTCTGTGCTTCAGGACCCTTTTGTCAATACTGAGAAACCCTTGCTAGGGTCTGGCCCCTCCATGCCGGGCTTGCTTCTCCCCTACGGCTGTGGTTCTTGGCTCCAGACCCTGGCCCAGAGATTCAGATTCATGTGCTCGGTGTAAAGCCAAGACTGATGTTTCTAGAAGCTCCTCAGGTAATCTGGTGTTCCCCAGACTGAACCCACTTCCCAGGGGTACAGCCCCTCTCTTCTAACCAAGAGATTCTTACCACAGGACGGACACCAAGATGAACACTGGGACACAGGTGTGGGCTCCTCAGGCCAAGAGGAGGCATTGGATTGAGAGAGGTGGCAGGGCAGAAATAAGCATCCACCCCAGAAGCAATGGACACACACACCCTGGTGTGCGGGCAGGAGCCCAGCCTTCTGCATCTCAGTCTTGGGCAGAAACTCTGTGAAGGACACTGGTCTCTCCCTTGCAGGGAACTGCTTTGGGGAGGACAGAGGCACTGAGGGTTAGAGTCCTTATGAGGAGGCGTGAGGACAGTGTCCCAGAGACAACCTGATCTGTATTCCTTAATATCGTGATTTTATGGGTGAAAATTAAAAAGAAAAATAACAAATGTGGAAAATACAGAAGAGCACAAAGGAAAAAGAACTTAGCCTATAAGCCCACCACTGTATAAGACACCTACTTTTAAAAAATTAATGTTTTCCCTTGATTTTTAGCCTCTGTATGATGTGAAGTATCTGGTTGAGCCAATCTGCTGACTGTTCTGTACAGTCACCCACAGGGGATTGGCTCCAGGACTCCCTGACAACAGGTGCACAGGCAGCCTATCAAAATCTGCAGAGGCTCAAGTTCGTAAATAAAATGATGCAGTGTTGGCTGATAACCTTCATTCTCCCCTACACTTCAGATCATCTCTGGATTACTTACAATAGCCAATACCATGTAAATGCAGTGTAAATAGTTACATTTTAATGCTTAGGGAATAGTAACAAAAACGTCTGACATGTTTAGTACAGATGCAGTTTTTTTTTCCAAATATTTTCAATCTGCAGCTGATTGAATCTATAGATGTGGAACCTATGATGGGTAGGGGGAAACTATTATTAAAACACTGGGGCATATATCCTGAATCAGATTTTAGCAGATTGACACAGTGTGAACTTTGGTTGTGTGTAGAGGGGTACCTGTGCTGAGAGAAGGGTTCTTAGAAAGCCTGCTTACTGGGACGGTCTTTCCTCTTCTGGTTCTGAGAGTCATTTAGTAGCAGGCTCCTGTGACACAGGGTGAGACTAGTGCAAGAGCCTTTTGCCTACAGGGGACCATCTGGGGAGGAGTGGCCAAGGAAGAAAGGGGCTCCTGACTGAAGACAGCCCAAAGGGACAGTAAGAAAGCACTTCAGCTGAGGTTATTTGCAAATGTGAACTTTAACCCTTGAGGATTCTTGGGAAATGGGAAAGATGCCAACAGAAATGTGCAGACCTTAGGAAGAAAAAGGCAAACCCCAAGAATTACAGTGAACCTGGCCCTAAGTGGAGCAGACCGCAGCAGCCTGTTGAGTGGCCGGTGTTTAGGAGACGTGTAGCCTTCAGTGCAGCTGGCTGAAGGCCTCCCGCTAAAGGTGGCCCGAGGCTCTCCTGGGTGGGGAACTGTCCCTACCTCCGACTGTGACTCCACCCTGAAGCCTGAGGACGAGGAGGAGCCGGGGTGGACTGACTTGACGGTCCCTCTCCCACTTGCTGTGCCATCCCCACAATCCCGACAGGGCACGCGGTGGTGACCAGAAGCGGGGGAAGCGGGGCCCGCCCCGTCCAGCCCAGCGCCCCGCCCACGGGAGCCCTCGGGACCGACGGCGGGTCCTCGCTTTCGGAGTCCTGCGGAAGGCCCCGACTCCGCGGGGTTCCCAGGCAACGCCCCGGGGCTGCCCTGCGCAGACGCAGCGCGTGGAGGACCTGCGGGCCAGGCCGGGCCAGCGGCGCTCCTCCCCTCCGCCTCCCCACTGCCCCCGCTGCCTGGGGCGGCGCGAAGGGCTGGCCGCCCGCGGGTTCCTGGAGGCAGAAATGGCTGCGAGCGGCCGGGGTCTCGGTAGGGCCTGGGGTGCCTCTCGCTGCCCCGCTTGGAGACATGCTCACTGGGAAGCTGGCGGACGCCCGAGGCCTGAGTACGATGCGGTGGTGATAGGAGCAGGTAAAGAAGGCGGGAAGGCAGCGCTGCCCAGAGGCCCGGAGAGGCCCTTTTGCAGAACCCCACTTCTCCCTTCACTCTGGGCACAACCTGGTCACAGTTTGGATGAGAGCCGGGGCTGTGAGGGAAGACCTTCTGGTCTCTGAGTAAGGCGCCTCTCTGTTCTAGTGCTGGCTCTGCCGATGGCTTGTTGTGTGGTCTAGGAAAATTTCTTGCCCTCTCTGGGCTTGAGTCTTGTTACCTAGAGTGGCATTAGGTGAGTGCAGAAGCTTCCCTTGTCTCCAGCTAAATGAACTAATGAGCTAGCTCTCACCACGTTCTTGGAAATCATGGTTCATTGAATAGAAAGAACCCTGGGACAACAGCACATGTCACCACTACCTCACCATTGAGATCACCCATCCCCAAAGGAAACCAGAATCACTTCACAAAGGGGAGTTAAGAGAAAAACAGAACTGAATCCCAGAGACCCTACTGTCCACAGAGGATGACAGCCATGTTTTCCTCTCAAACATTTGGGGACATGCTGTGTGGTCCTGGGACACTTTGCTGACCCCTAGCCTCAGAGTACTCAAGTCTGCATGTGACTGGGTGACCCGTTCACACTCTCAGAAGGCCTGAAGGCATTATTTCCAACTGGGTTCATTTCAATGTGATGCCTAAAAAAAGAGGATGCCCAGGCTCCGTGCTGGGCACAGTCCCAAGGTGCCCTCTGCTTGGGCCTTGTCTCTGTTACCAAGAGCAGCCATGAGCTGGTGAAAGCCTCCGTCCGCTCTCCAGGGAAGGAGTGTTCGCATACACACATTTACTGTAAATACTGAATTAAAAAATATGTAGCACACAGTTCTAAAAATCAAGTAGACAGCAGTGCTCTTAATTAAAAGTCCATGTGGCCAATTGATTCTGATCCAGTACTCTCTGATTTTTGCCAAACTCGATTGCCAAGCTGTGGTCGCAGTTCCGGAGTGGTCATAGCTTGGAAAGGGATGCTTGATGTTTTCATTCACTTTGAAGAAATGGGGGGAAAAAGTGAAACAGTGAAGATTTATGTCCCAGCTTCATTCCTTCTTCAATAACAGAAATGACTTTGCTCGGTCAGATAATATTTTTTTCTGATACTGGAAGAATATCTTCTCCATGTTTGGTGCTGTTCATTCCCAATGTAACGCTACCGACAAGCATCCCATTAAATTTCATCTGCGTTGTTAGATTTTTCCCATCTCTTTCCTGAGCCTGCCAGTCCACAGCACAGTAGATCAAGCCCTGCCGTGTCCCGAGTGTAAGTCCTCCCATGTGGCCCCACCCTTGGGAGGTCACTGAATGTGACTTAGGGGAGACACACAGTAGCAGGCCACATCCAGGCATGTAGAGGCAGGTGACCTCAAGAGCATGGTTATAGGCCAGTGTAGCAAAATGACAATGGTGATTTTGAGTAGTTTTTACCATCGCTTTTAATATATTTAGTAGGAAGTTATAGGATTTAATTTTTAGCAATGGTCTGTTTGATAGTGGGCTCACAAACTTCCTGGAGTCCAGCACCCACGGGAAGCACCCAGGGGGAGCGCTCCGTCCTCTGAGCCTCCCAAAAGCCCCTCCTCCCCTCAGCTCTTGGTCACAGCCCCCCTGGGCTCCCATGGGCCTCCCATGGGCCAGCTGCCTTGGTGACTCTCCCACAATGTGACTGTCTCAGTGAGGTGGCTTCAGTTACCTGATTTAGGGGCGTTCCAGCCTGAGTGAGGAGCAGAGTGGCATCTTCTGAGATGAGGGTTATATCTGAGTCCCTGAAGTCATGCCTGGCAGTCACCTCAAAGAGACCCTGATTGTCATTTGACTAAGGTAGCTAAGAATGCCCTGAGGAGCTTGTTACAATGCAGGTACCTGGGCTTTGTAGCTGGTGATTAGGGCTGGCGGAGGGGGGAGGGGCGGTGGGGTGGGGGGCTCCCAGCCATCAGCACATCTGCTGGCCAACGGTGAGCAAATCTGATGCTGGCAGCGCAGAGCCCATGCCAGGTCAGCTCATATAAGTCCCACACACCTGCTATCTGGGGTGAGGATCCCCAGAAGTGGCTAGGGGTTCCCTGAGCCTGCAGCAAAAGACCCTTCAAGGGGACAGGTCATCTGAAGCCATAGGAGAATGCATCCAGGATGGGGGAGGGGGCAGTTCTGGAACACTAGATCCTGGGCCTTCATCCTTCTGGGTCTGTGCCCTTGGGGGTTTACATGCTGTCAATGGACTGGACTCTGTTGCCCAGAAGACTTGATTCGTTTTCCAGAATTGATGAGCACCACTAATGAAAGGCGAACAGCTGCTGTGTTTGTTGTGGGCCTGCGAAGGGCCAGGTGCTTTATGGATATTGTTGGTCATCCTGCCCACACTGCGGCAAGCTCCCCAGCACCCTTTCTGCCTCGCCTCCTGGCTGCTAAATGCCTCTCTGTCCATGGCAGAGCTGGGCTGAACCCCAGACTGCCTGCCTTCTTGAATTTGCTTTGTGTATTAAGAGAAGGGCTTCTCAAACTACAGGTTCAGGCAAATATTTATAAGTCCCAGCATATTTTTTAAACTTTCTTATGGCAATTTTCCAGTGCTTTTTAAAATGAAATATAACCAAATAGATCATCACATGCTTATCACACAGTGAGAGTTAGTATTAGTACATGAAAGCCTTTTCCTCTGAAATGCATTTACTCACGTGGCATGTGCCAGATCATGTTGTTAGATTCTTCCTGTGGATCATAGTCAAAGGGGGTTGAAAAGCCCAGGTTCCATTAGGAACGATAAGAATGCAGTTGTGACCCCTCACATCCTGGGAAGCCTCCATAAAGCAACTGACTCAGCCATGAGGAGATGCATCACATGGCCATCACTGCCCCTGGTTAGGGACATTTGCCAGGCTAACAGCTGAGTAGTTCATTTGAGTCAACACTGGATTCAGGTCGGTGCTCAGGATCATGGTCATCCACTGACATCTAAAAGACTCAGAGTGGTGACTGTCACCAAGGAGAGAATAGACTGGGGGTCACAGGAGCTGGCCGACAACCACTGGGGCCTGTTCTCTGCGTGCAAGTGATTCTTCACCAATAGCCTCATTTCCTCCTAAGAGTGGGGAAAGGAGGAGGCAGGCCACACCCAGCTCCAGGGCTCATGTGCTCAACAGGTGGATCTGAGGTCACCTGGGTGGGAATTACCTGGGATCGAATGAGGAATCAGCTCTAGCACACACGTGCCCTCCCTGACCTGCTGAAGGACGCACTGAGGAGGGGAGTTCTGGGAATCCATACTTTTGCCCAGGGTGATTCCGAGCTACTTAGAGCTGCGCTCACTACCCACTTGGTGGGGAACATGAGATCCCAAATCCAAATTCAGGGCTCATGGCCAAGGGCAGCCCGCCTAAGATTTTAGAAATCTTTTTAGAAAAAACTAAGGTAACAAATTCCCCCAGCCAGCTAGCACTGAGGCACACGCCCATAGTAGCTGAGTGTGTTTGATTACTTCATTTTTAACTATTCAAACTTCATTTTTAGAGCATGAGACTGACAGGGACATCCTGTGTGGATAAAGCCTTCTTAGGCCAAAATTAACAGCAACTCTGCCCCTGAGCAGTGCTCACCTGGGTGGCTGGTTATTCCAGGTGCAAAAGCGTGCTGGCCGCCTTTCTTTTGCTTCCGGTCCCCACCATGTGAACTGGGATGCTCCCTCGGTCACCTGCTCCTTGCCTAGTGATGGAAGCCCCTGTGACCGTGACTCTCTCCTTGACCCTCACTCCAGCATGGAGCCATTGACAGAGCCAGGGGCCAGCACTTCTTTCAAGTCAGGGCAAATCAGGCAAATTGCTCCTCCCAGTGCGGTGGGTGGGGCCACCAGGGATCTGCCTGGGTGGGGCAGAGATGGGCCCCTCTCCCTCAAGGGATGTGCATCTGCCAGCTGACTAGTGATCTGTCCTCCCCTCCCCCCTCTCATTGCAGGACACAATGGGCTGGTGGCTGTGAGTACCTTCCCTGAGTCCCACTGCACTGACCCCAGAGCCTGTGGCTCTCAGCAGCCACAGGGAGAAGTGAGCAAGTGGCAGGAGAGAGGAAAGAAGCGTGCTCCGGTGCCGACCAGGAACTGGGTTGAATGTGTATCTGCAGCCACTCAGAGAGGATATCATGGGCTCCCTTTCCTGTCCTTTCCATAATACTTGGGACCCCACCCGTGGCCTGTGGAAGAGTCAGGGAGCTTCAGAAGCAGGCTGGTGAAAATGTGGGGAAACGTCTATCTGGCATAGAGGGAGCAGGTGGGACCCTGGGGATCAGGAGCATGAGGCAGGTGGGGCCTCTGACTCCAGGTTAGGGGGCAGTCCTTGCTGGGACAGGTTCAGGTGACCCACAACCTGAAGCACACTGCTACTGCATCTCCAAGTGCTCACGTGACAGCAAGAGCTCCCTAGCAGAGAGGCCAGGGCTCATGTACCCAGCAGGTGTCTTCTAGATCCCAAGTTCAGCCAGGCCAGAGTCACTCTGGGGCTCTGCTTCTAAACCCTGAGTCCAGGTACTTCCAAGAGGCCTTTGAGAGTATTCAAGGCCATTAAACAAATATGGAACCTCTTCTTTAAGCAGTGGCAGCTCTAAAGTATCAACAAAGGGGGTGCCCAGGGACTACGGTAAGACCTTAATACCTTAAACAACATATCAGTTTTACCTGAACATTCTACAGGGGACCCTTTGCAGCTCAACTGATCGGTAATTTAAACACTGATTTGATATTAATGTAAGTGCAGGTTTGTCTCCCAGCTCTGTCACTTTCTATCTGTCAAGGTTTAAGTGAGTCACTCAGCCTCTCTGAGCCACATAAAATGAGAACAGCCGTGCCTACCCTCAAGAAGCCATTTGTGAAGGCAATAGTTAATGTGCTGCAGGGACCTGGCACATAAAACTTGACCTGAATGCTAGCTCTTACTATTGGAAGTTTCCAGCCCAGGGAGGGCTAATGTCAATGCCCTTCAGCCAAAGACCACCAGAAATGCACCTGTGCTTAATCAAGTCGTCTTGATTACTCTTGGCAGTGAGGGAGAACCGTGGGGTGTCTCAGCAAGGTGTTAGAAAGAACCTAATAGAGGATTTGAGCTTTGGTTGGATGACTTGGGAAAAAGCCTGAGAAAATAAGGGTTTGGAGTCAGAGGCCCCGCCTTGTAGGTTAGACACTGTCAGAAAGTAAGGACAGCCTTCTGACTGGGAACTCCAGTACCTCTTATCTGTAGGGAGCAGAGACTGAGATGAGGACATTGAAATTTGGTGAGGAAGTAGCAGTCACTCAATCTGGCCAAGAGAGGGGCATTTCATATTTTGTGGATGACACAGAGACCTTGGATTTGTTTGTGCTTAAACAAAATTGTGCAGAGAGCTTGCTCCATCTCATTTTATCGTAGTCTCTCAGTAATTATTTCAGGCCATTCTGTGAAGTAGCTTATGTCTAATTGGAGAATAACATGGCTTACCCTTGCATGTCAAGGCAGCTTCCAGATGTCATGCTCTGGGAGCTGGATTCAAGCTTAACCACACAGAGCCTCAGTTTTCTGATCTGTAAAACAGGGAGAACCATTGTGCCTACCTCCAAGATGGTGGACTGTAATAAGGTGCATCTGATGTCTGGCACATAGTTGCCCAGTGAACCAAGGATGGTGACTTCTGAACTTCACCATTCCTTGGTGTTAGTGGTAGTGGGAAGACCAGCACTGTAGGATTGTAGGCTCAGGACTAGCTCAGTTCAGCAAATATTTATTGATTTCCCCCCTAAATGTGAGAAGAAAAGTATCAGAAACCCTTGCATCATTTGTTGCCCCCAATAAAGTTCTGCTGTAGACACAGCTTCAGTTATTGTGTGTCTCCTGTGCCAGGGACAAGCTCAGGGAATACTCACAGCAGCCCTATGAGATAGGTAGAGTCAGTCCTATAATATCAACCCCATTTTTGCACATGTAGAAACTGAGACAGGATGGATCAGGCACTGAGGCTGAGCCAGCAGAAAGGGATGCAGAGTTGAACCTGGGGTTTGGTTTCACATTCTCAAGTTCAACTTCACTGTGCCACCTCTCACTGGGCTTGTAAGGGGAAGGAGGCTTTCTCCGGCCTGGAGGAGAGGGACATCTGGGACAGGGTTAGGATGTGACGAGAATTCCTAGGGCACCAGCCTTCTAAGGAGAGAAGGTCACCTTCAGCTGGGATGTGGAGGGGCAGGACAAGCAAGCAGGCCTTGGAAGACATCTGAACAGCATGAGCCACAGGGTAGTGTGTTGGCTCTGCACTGAGGACCCCAAGACCATGGGTCAGCTCCCAGGGATCTTGGGTGTTCCAGAGGGATGAGAGAGGGCCTTATGTGACCTCCAGGCGGCGTACCTGCAGAGACTGGGGGTGAACACGGCGGTCTTCGAGAGGCGCCATGTGATCGGGGGTGCAGCAGTCACTGAGGAGATCATTCCAGGTGAGCCCCAAGAGGTGGGAGGGGCTGAGGAGTGATCACTGGTGACTGGTTTTTCTGATTTTGTTCCAGGGTTTAAGTTCTCCCGTGCATCCTACCTCCTCAGCCTTCTGAGGCCACAGATTTACACAGACCTGGAGCTGAAGGTAGAGCAGCCCTGTGGCCTTGGTGGGTGGGTGGTTGTGATCACCTCTCATCTCCCTGACCTGGGGCAGGGGCTCCCTACCTTGTACCCAGGGTGATTCCCAGTGCCTGAGATTCCTTCTATCCCAGGGTTGGGCCACCCCCAGGATCTTCTGCTGCATGCCATAGATTGTGTCACCCACCCTACGTCTTAAAAACTCAGAAATCTCACACAAAACTCAGACCTCATTTGAAGACTGAGCTTTGTCAGCATCAGGCCCTTGTTCTACATGGTGGCACTTTCAGCCTGGTCCCTGTCATCTTCTGGCATCACCTGCCTAAAGCTTTGGGCTCCTGAGTTTGCAAAGCCTCCTTAGACTGGGCTGTGTTTCCACCCTTATTAAACTTTGGAGCCTGGCAGCGTGAACAGGACGTTGAACCTGACTTTCACCCCTTTCGGTTCCTGGGCTATCTGGAGGAGATCCTGAGAACTCTCCCCTGGCTTGTCCAGCTCTGCCCACTACCCTTCACAGGCTCCACCTCTCATGGCCTGTTTCATAAGCCTCCAAGTTCCTGAGGCTGACTTGGCTCCCACCTGCTAGTGCCTCTGTCACCCACCCCTCAGGAAAAAGATCCTTGGTGTCATGTGTACGAGCAGCTGCCATGTACTTCAGTGCCAACTTTGCTCTGAATTCAAAGTTCAAAATTAATTAGATGCTCAGCTGCTGTTTACACCCCTTGGCTTCTGTAACTGGTTCATGTAGAGGAGTTCTGTGAATTCGGTGACTATAGAAACCGAAATTAAGAAATTATTACTTGAGAGAAAGAATGTAAGCACCCTCAGGCCAGCACTGGATAAATTTAGCCAAGGCCCAAGGGTGTGTCTGGGATCCTCAGCCCACACCACACTACAACTGGAGGCAGTTTGTAACTGTACCCATAGTTGATGGAGGCAGATGTTGGGCACCAGAGGCAACTTCTGACCTCCCTTCCTCCCTTCCATAAGTCTTAGCTATGTTCCCTCTCCTGGTGCTTTATTCTGGGAAATCTCCCTAAAGTGGGACTCTTGGACCTACATGTCCAGAAGAATGACCAGGGAAACTAAAGGGGAAACAGAGATGCCCAGGGGTTCTTGCTCAGAGGCCTGGTGCTGTAGGAGTCGTGGGGCCTGGGAACTGGCATTTTGTAGCAGTCTCAGGTTGTTGTGAGACAGGAAGCCACCAGACACCCCTTTGAAAAACAAACCTGTAAGTCCCCCTTGTCCATGGTCTCTCAGACATACCTACCTTGACCTCCCCAACAGTTTCCACCTGGGACAGCTGGCCTGCTGAGAAAACTCATGGGTTAACCAGAGGAAGTAGTCTGTTCTTGTTTTATTTTTGTTTTTAAAGAAAACTGGATACTTGAAAAAAAATCTCATGGAGATAATCTCATGGCTGTTTAATGCTCCCCTTCTTATTTCAACTCCATGTAATTAAAACCATCAAGAACAACAAAGGTACCGTTTTTTAAAATACTTTTTAGTTGTAATGGACACAATACCTTTATTTATTTTTATGTGGTGCTGAGGATCGAACCCAGGGCCTCACACGTGCAAGGCACGTGCTTTACCACTGAGCCACAGCCCCAGGCCCCCAAAGATACCATTTTTTAAGAGTGTCCTAGAGGTAGTCAAAAAAATGTTCATTTGTGACTAGTTATACTTGAAATAACTCCTGGGCTCCTCTCGGGTCCTTATGTGGAGGGTTGATCGATTCCTTCATCCAGTCAGTGTTCCTGAGCACCTGCTCTGAGCCACACCCTGGGGAAGCCCTGGGAGACGTGGGCTGGGTGGGGTGAATGAGGGAGGGAGACAAGGACCCAAGAGAATTTCAGGTAGAGGTAAGTGGCAGGAAGAAAGTGAAGCCATGTGATAGGGACAGGCTGGAGCTCCCAGCCTAGACTGGTGAGCAGGAGCTCCTCCTTGAGGAGGTGACCTGGGAGCTGACATTCTAATGTCGAGAAGTCACCGGCTTTGTGCCTTGTGGACACGTGACCAAAGAGAGTTCTAGGCAGAGGGAAGTGGGGGTGGACAGGCCAAGGCAGACTTGAGAGGAAGGCAGGTGTGTGACTACTGCGGCCGTGACGAGGGGACTGCATTTAACCCAGGTGCAGGGGGAAACCAGTGGAGGCATTTAATTAGGAAGGAGAGTATGGGATTTATGACCCTGTGAAAGATCAGTCCCCTGGATCAAGACGGAGGCGGGTTGCAGGTTGATTGTTGAGGCAGCTCCTACAGTGATTCACAAGATGGCGACTTGGGCCAGGGGCAACAGACATAGAGGGAAGTGGACAACTTCTGCAGATGGAGCTGATGAGACTTGGCTGTGGACGGGATGTCAAGGGAGAGGGAAGAAGAGGAACTCAAGATGCCCTCTAGGGTCAAGAGTTCTCTATATTAAGAGGAACCAAGCTGGAAGTTCCTCCAACTTGGAATCAAATTTCTCTATCTTAATGTTAGAAAGGACCCAAAGGAGTCCCAACCCAAACTCCTAGCCATGTTTAGAGTCTCCTGGGCAGCATGCTCAATGCCCTGGGGATCTTGTCCATCTGGAATGTCTCTGGTTTGAAGCAACTCCAGCTGTAGTGGTCAGGAAGGTCTGTTCTAGTTTCCATGTACTGTCCTAATACTTCTACTCACAGACCTCATTTCTGTCCCCTGGAGCTACACCTTACTTGCAAGATATAGTATTCATCCACTCAAGTCCACAGCACACTTAGTGACTACACTGAATCTACACCTGGTGGACATAATAGTGAGCAAGACAGATAATGCCCCTGACCTCATTCTACTCTGGGAGGTGAAGAAAAAATTGAATGTATAATTACCATGTGCTGACAAGCGCTTTGGAGAAAAAAAAAATGCAGGGAGATGGGACAGGGAGTACTGGCATGGTTAGGGGAGGCCTTGCTCATAAGGGTCACTTGAGCAGAGATCTTCAAAGAAGTGAGAGAACAGGCCGTGGATCTAGAGAAAGAAGTCTGTAGATGGCGGCCACGGTAAGCCTGTGTTAGTAGCCCAGGCCCCTTTGTTGTATCTGTGGAGAAGTAGATGTGTTCTTAGAAAGTTCTGTGTGCTGGTCAGGCCCCTCTAAATCAAATCATATTTTAACTGCATCAAGGCAACTTCCATTTAAAGTGACCCTGGAGTAAATGAGTCTGTAAAGTAAATAAAAATTTTTGGTGTAAATAATTTATCTACCTTGTGCCTATGGATTTTCACATAACCATTGCTTTATTGTGTCTTTCTAAATTTTAATTATTTATTTCTCAAGTGGGACAGTTATAGATTAGGACTGAGAGCCAGGGCCTGGGAGTCACAGAGATGTGGTTTGGAAACCCAGATCTGCTTCCTACAGGGACCTGAAACAAGTTATTTAACTTCTCTACCTTCGGTTATGGCATTCGTACCAAAGAGGATAAGAATACCGCCAGAGTTGTTGTGAGGTAGTAATTGTAGATCCCAGCACTGCCTTTGGCACAGGGTAAGCATGATATGCTGCAGCTTGGTGTAGCAAGGTATGGCATAGTGTGGCGGGCACTGTGCTCTGGTGTGGTATAGTTGGTGAGGTGTGCTGTGCTCTGGTGTGGTATAATATGGCAAGATGGTGCATGTGCGGTACCGTATGGTCTTCTTGAGTGCCTGAGCAAGAGGGCTTTTATAAACCTATATTTTTTTAAAAATTGGGATCCAGGATCACATACCTTGGGAACCTGCCCACAGGTACCTAAATGGTCTCACAAACACTGTTGGAGAAAGGAGACTGGGGACGGAGACCACAGACCTCTAAAATGTTGCCTGCGTTGTTTGTATTCTGCAGAAACACGGACTGAGGCTTCATCTCCGAAATCCCTACTCCTTCACCCCCATGTTGGAAGAGGGCACAGGGGGCAACGTGCCCAGATCCCTTCTTCTGGGAACAGACATGACACAAAACCAGAAGCAAATTGCCCAGTTCTCACAGAAGGATGCCCAGGTAAGGACGGTGTCCAGAGACCCGGCTCCTCCTCCCTCGCCAGCCTGGAGGGGGCTTTTGAAAGGAAATGGGTCTGGTTGGAGCCATCCTAGAGCAATGTCCCAGTAGATGGGCTGCCCCGCCTTCCCTGCAGAGGGCTCCAGTCTGCACTTGCCTGTGATCTTAGGCTGTGAAGGAAAGGGACGGAGGATGGCATTTGAGACCAGTGGACACTGCCAGCTCTTGAACCTGCTTGTGCTCAGTATGGGGTCAGACCGTCTCCACCTGCTGTGTGAAGGTGTACTTTGTAACCCAAGTGGTTATCCATGTTAAAGTCGCAATGGAGGCTGACGGGCAGATCAGAGATCACTCAGAACCGACTGTTCTGCGTCAGGAGGGCTGGAGTCAATATCGTTCAATTCGGCTTCATCCCGGGCGCTCCAGGCAGAAAGCGTCCATGAGGGTGCGCAGGTCTGGGGAAGGAAGCACACACACCAGACAATGTGCAGTCTCTTGGGATTACTGCCCTGGAATTCTTGGGCAGCCTTGTCCACGTGAGTCACTAGATGATGGGACGGGCCTGGTGTGACAGGTTCTGTGGACATGGAAAGGAACTCTGGCCACTTTTGTACCCATCCTGCATACAAGCTAAAGGTGTAGCATTAAGTCACATCTTGGTGGAGGCGTTTTATAAGAACCTAGGTGAATGCCATCCATGTGCATTGCTTCCTGTGGCTTTCATGAAACACAGGGTAAAATCTAGAGAACCATGGGCCACAGGCCCAGTGCACATCTCTCCAACCAGTGCTTTCCAAATCTGGTGGAGGAGCAGGATCTCCTGGGGACTTAGCTTTTTTAGAGTATTTCTCTTGTGATCTTTTTGTGCAATGGGCTCAGGACCACGGCCTCCACCCTCCAAATCCTGCTCGCCTCAGGTGCACTAGGCAGGAGTCAGCACAAGGCCTGGTCCCTGGGCCTGCAAGACACTGGTGGTGGCTCTGCCTTCTAATGACCACATAAGCAGGAGGCCAGGGCCTGTTTCCCATTGTGGAACTTAAGGAGCCTGATTTCTGGTTTTACAAGTTGTCATCTTAAAGGTCTGTCCTAGAGAAGTGTGTTTAATTTCATTTTTACCAAGACTTCTCAAATGTTCCTCAACACAGAACCTTTCTTTATGTGACACTTAAAGTTCGTGTGTGTGCCCATGGGTACAGCTGAGCCCAAATTAAAAGTTCTGGGCTGAGAATCAAGAGAAGGCCTCTGGTGGCTCCGGCATCTGCCCCTGCCCTGTTGCCTGTCCAGCAAAGGGAGTGTGGGAGTTAGAAACCGGCCATGGACAATGGGTTCCGTGTGGGAGCTTGAGGAAAGAGGACGCAGGCCTGGTTGCCGCAGGTCAGGAGGCGACATGTCAGACTGATGGGCCAGGAGAGAGCAGACGGGAAGGGGTCTAACTTCTACCAATCACATGTGGAAGGACAGAAGGACAGAGAGAAAAGCTTCAATGTGGCTTTATCACAGAGCCCAGACCCTGAGCAGCTTGCCAACTTCCTGTGGCTGGTGTTGGCCCACGCTGACCCTGTCCTCGGTGGCTCTCCTACTGCCCACCTGGCATGACCTCAACTCTCAGACCTAGAAGTGAGAGGACCCAGCGGAGCTAAGCTGAGCAGCAGCAGGGGCTGAGGCCTGTGGAAGCATCCGGGCTCCTCTGTGGAGTGCAGCATCCTTGTGGGAATGGTGTGGGGGCAGAGCATGAGAACCACATCCTCGTGGGATTCCTCACAGTGGAGCCTTGACCTACGTCTCTGTTCCAGGCCTTTCCCAGATACGAGGAGTTCATGAATCGCTTGGTATCAGCCATTGACCCTCTGCTGGACGCAGCCCCAGTGGACACCGCGGCCTTCCAGCGCGGCTCGATGCTGCAGAGGCTCAAGTTACTGTCCACCCTCAAGCCCCTGCTGAAGGCTGGTGAGTCCCGAGTGCAGGCATCGGGGCAGGAGGAGTAGCCTTCATGGAGGCATGTTCTTAATGCCTGGACAGAAGGTTGAACCGCCATGGCAGCCTGCCAGTGGTGACCAGTTAAGGCCATTAGGACTTCTCCGAGCACTTTACTGAGACTCGGGCTGATGTGCCCTTAGAACCTGAGACAAAGGCCTAAATACAAGTAGCTGATTTAGAAAGGTGACCCCAAGGCCCCAAACTAGGGGAAAGGAGGAATGAAACTGGACCGAGGGAGAGCCACTGCCAGGGTGTGTCATTGCCCTGGCCACCAAGATGGGCAACGAGGCACTGGACCTGCCTGGACCCTCTGTGAAATGCATTTGAGGACCATTCCTGGAGAAGAAAGAGAGATTTATCCAGCAGGCTCTGTCCCCCAGGGTCAAGGGTTGCCCCTTAGGATGTCCTGGTCAGTGGGTCACCTGGCATAGTACCAAAGGAGCCCAGGGAATAAATGAAGCAGCACACTTTATAGGACTGAGGTGAGATTGCTGCTGGGGTTTCAGTGTGTGAAGCTGATCAAAGCTGCAAAAGGTGCTTATCCTGCTGTGGCTGGAGTAAGATTGAGGGGCCAAGAGAATGTAAGGAACTGTCTCCACAAAAAGTGGATACTAGATTTGAGTGCAGCCAGGAGAAGTTCTGTGATGAATTAGTAATGTCTGCCATGGGTATGAGAAGGGACGGTCCACAGAGTGTGCTGTTGTTTACTGTGACCCTGTAGGATATACAGACCAAGTTAGTGTCAGTGTCCTAGAAAAGTACTGAATCAGTTAGTTATGATCACAAGGGGGAAAAGCCCATAAAACCCCCATGGCATGCATATAAAAATAAACCTTTTTTTCTCCCTAGCATGTGTGGTTTAGCTCATCCCAGCTGGTTCAGCTGATCCAGTCTGATTTCATGCATGTGCTTGTGGCTAGGACAGGCCATCATGGGCAGCTGGGCCTCAGGTGTCTCATCCTCCTTATGGAAGCAGCATCCTAGTCTGGGTATGCCCTTCTTATATCAATGGAAGACAACATGGGGCTGATTCCTGGTTCCCAGGCCTGTTATAAGGCTCTGTGTCACATCTACAGACCTGCCATTGGCCAAGCAAATCACATGAATAAATCTGGAGTCAAGGCTCAGGTCAAACCAGTTGTGGGTAGAAGGAACTGCAGTTATACATCAGAGTATAGATACAGGGAGGATCTACCCTACATGCCCCCAAAGTAGATGTTCCTTTCAGACTTCCAGCCCAAGGAGTTTTGAACAATAAACGTTTGTGTAATAAACATTTATTGAGCAACTACTATTGTCAGACACCAAGCTGCACACAAGGACCACAACGGCTAAGACCATGATCTCTGCCTTCAAGGACTATTGGCCAGTGGCTGTCTGAATTGGTCATAGGAATGGTCCTCTCCTAGGGTATGGGCCTTACAGAGTTCAAAGTAAGAGAATAAGGTACAAGATAATTTTTTTAAGTAGTAGTAAGTGCTAAATAAAATCAGTGCCCCTGAACTTGCCAATGCTTTGCCTATCTCATTGAATCGTCAGCTAGCCTTTTGGGGTGTGAGACAGGACTCCCATTTTACAGATAGAGGAACAGGTTCAGAGATGTTAACCTGTGTCCAAGGCCGTGCAGTTGGTAAGGGAGGAAATCATAGCCGGCATCCACCCCGCTGCACTGCCCGCCGTTGGCAGATCTCAGTCTCCTGCCATCCTTTCATCTCCTGGGACCAGATCAGAGTGTTTCCTCACAGCCCGTCTCTGTTGATATTTTGGGGTTCCTCTCTTTCAGGTCGCACCCTGGGAGCTCAGCTTCCCCAGTACTACCAGGTGTTCACAGCTCCCATCACCAGGGTGAGCAGCTCCCAGCCTCAGCCCCCCCCCCCCCACCACCACCCTCCGGGACCTCTCCTGCCAGCCAGGCCCTGAGCGCTTCTCCCGCGGTTCTTCATCCAGGTGCTGGATCAGTGGTTTGAGTCTGAGCCCCTGAAAGCCACTCTAGCAACGGATGCTGTTATTGGAGCCATGACAAGTCCTCGCACTCCGGGCAGTGGGTGAGGGAGAGGGAGGAGGGCCGCGCGAGGAACCGGAGGCTCTGCTGAGAGCCAGCAGGAAGGACAAAGGCAGAACAGCAGAGCTGTCATTTACGGAGCTACCAGGAACCAGGCACTTAGCCAAGCACCTCACATACGGTGAACCTCATAGCTCCATCCGAGATCTGTGGTTCAGAGAAGGGAAGTGACGTACACAAAGTCACATAGCTAGTAACTAGCAGAGCCCTTAGCTACCACTCTGTGCTCCCCTAGGAAAGGCCTCCAAAGGATATCAACATACTTCCTGCCTCTCGCCCTTCCCTTCCTCTCCCTCCTTCTCTTTCTCTCCTCTCTCCCCTCCCACCATGCTCTTTTCCCTGGGCTCTAAGACACTCACAGGCACCTTCTACGGACAGGAAGCTGCCTCTCTGAGCAGGGCACATGCCTATAGCCCAGTCCAAGGAGGGCATCACACACAGTGAGGGCTGTGGTCATGGTTTGACCTAAGGATCCCCTTGTAGGAGTAGGAATGGAGGAGCGTGCACATGCGCACTGGTTGGGATGGAGGATTTGCCAAGTATGGCCTTTCCAATGTACCGGAAGATGCAGCTAGAAGCTGTCAAGGTGGCTTTTCTCTCAAGGGATGAGAGCATCCCTCGGAAGTAGCTTTTCAACACATATTGAGCCAGCCCCAACTCCCCCCGGGCCAGGGAGAAGAGGGCTGGCGGCAGCTGCTGCACCCTGGCCCAGCTCTGCGAACTGCCAGCCAATCGGTCTCCAGCTGGATTCCTGTCCTTTTCTCTGGGGAGTGGGGCGGGAGCGTCTGTGGGAGGCTTAGAGGCTGCTCAGTGAGCCATGAAGGTACTGGTTCCTTCTTTCTTTCAACAACTGCTGATGGAGCGGTGCCTGTGCGAGGTGCTGGGGAAGTGAACAACCAGAAACCCCGATGGCAGAGAGGGCTAGTGATGAGGATGAGGGTTAAGATAGGAGGCCCCCAGGGAAACTCCAGCTGACCCCAATGAGACGCCTGATCCAGACCTGGGGGACAAACTATGAGGCAGGAAAGGCTCCAGGCCAGCCGCAGCAGCTGGACAGGTGAGCAGAGTGCTCCGTTCCAGGAACCGGAAGAGCTCGAGGCTCCGTTCAGTGGGGGTGTGGGTCAGGACAAGGATGGGAGGCCCGAGGCCACCTCCTGAGGCGCCTGTTCCCCCAAGAGCAACAATGAGCCGGTGAAGCTTTGAAAGGAGAGGAGTGGTGGGAACCAGCTGGTTCTGAGGTTGCCTGCGTGGAGGAGACTGCAGTGAGCAAATGTGGGGAGAAGGCGATGCCCCTGGGGGCCCTCCTGTGGCAGTTTCAGGAAGACCAGAGCAAGGCACTGGGGGACAGTTGCCTCTAGAGTTGCTTGGAAGGAAGAGTTGACAGAGGTGGAATTGGATATAGAGGGTGAGGGACTGGCAAGGGTCAAGGTTGACACTTGGGTTTACTGGGTGGGGGATATCAGGAAGAAGCAGCTTGGGGAATGGGGAGAGGCGATGCCTGCCAAGGAAGCAGGGGGGTAGCTACTCACAGTACGGAGCTCAGGAGCTGGGGCGGCAGGTTTGGGCTTTGCTGCCATGCAGGCAGCATAAAGCTCTGCTGCAGACACATTTGCATGGAGAGGGATACAGATGAGAAGGCAAAGGGCTTTTCCAAACTCATTTCAAGTCTCATGGAAAGGGCTGGATGGGGGCAGGAGAGGCTGAAGGTATGGAAAGATATTTGCATCTAAAAACTGGGAGATGAAACCTCACCTCCAGCACCAATCCTGTGCTCTGCCCTCAGGTACGTGCTGCTGCATCATGTGATGGGTGGTCTGGAGGGGATCCAGGGTGCCTGGGGCTACGTCCAGGGTGGCATGGGTGCCCTCTCTGAGGCCATTGCAAGATCGGCCATTGCACATGGAGCAAGTATCTTCACTGAGAAGGTGAGGGTCCCTCTCCCCCTCCTCTGGTTGGCCTCGGATTCAGGTAGTCCCTAATGGACAGCTGGGCTCAGAGTCAAGAGACGACAGTTCTGTAGCCTGTCAGTGGCTGAGCTGTTGTCACCGAGGTCCCAGTTCCTCTGACCACCCTTTGGATTCAGCAGTCAATAACCACAGTCAGCAAAGCTGGGGGGTGGGGGGTGGAGGCTCCCTGAGTAGCTGCAGACTTGGAGGGTGGGACAGGGATGAGGAAGCTGGGAGCTCCCAGGAGCGGTGCAGACCGTGGAAATCCCACCTGATCCTACGCCGTTTCCTTCTGGGGGTTTCTGGGACCCCTTGCTGGTGGGCTCCAGACAGTGGCTAGGGTGCAGGTGAATGGCGAAGGCCACGTTCGAGGAGTGGTGCTGCAGGACGGCCTGGAGGTGAGGAGCAGAGTGGTGCTGTCCAGCGCATCCCCACAGATCACCTTCCTGAAGCTGACCCCACAGGTGAGGCGGGGTGCTGGGTGGACAGGAGTGGAGATCTCTGCCAACACAGGGACAGGAAATTGTAGGGGGGTGGGCTGCCTAGGGCAGGAGGTGCACGTGCCAAGTCTCCTTATTTGGAGAAATGGGAAGGCAATGGGCAGGTAGCAAGCAGGGAGGGCCTCACAGGTGAGGAGGAAGAGCAGAGAGGTGAGGTGACCTAGGTCATGCAGCTGGAAATTGGAGGAGCCCGTGCTGGAACCCAGATCTGACTTCCTAACTAAAGTTATTTCTACAACTTTCCTATTCTCTGAATTCCTCCCCTCTTACCAACTCTAATTTCACTATCTTGTGTCAGAGATCTGTTGCCATATTAATGCTGGGCATATAAGAAGAAATATTAGCTTGCAGATCTGGAGAATTCAATCTCTTGGTTGAATTCAACTGATCTGGGCTTGCTTGTGCACCCACCGTCAGCTGCGGGGCAGCCAGTCAGCCCTGTTGATCTGGGGCTGGACGTGTTCAGGTGCCTGGGAGCTGGCTGGCTGTGGCTAGTCCAGGATGGTTTCTGCTGGAATGACCAGGGTGACTGAGCTCTATTTTCATGTGTCTTTCAAACTTCAGCACAGCAGTCCTGGCATGTTCTCAGGATCTGGCCAGGGACAAAAGGAAGCAAGCTCAATCATGCTCATGCTGTTGTTGGATAACTTTGTATCTTATTTGATAACTTTGTTTAAAACAAGTCTCAAGGTTCAGCCCAGAGTCAGAGTGGAATGCCTCAAAGTTACATAGAAAAGGGGTGTGCACACAGCGGGGGCTGAGGATTTAGGGAAGGTATTGAAATTGGCCACACTTCCCTTGTCCCAAAAGAGAAGATAATGTGTTTATGAGCTTGGAGCTCCCAGCCATTACTGGGCTGTTCCTGGGGGCAGCACCACTTTTTTTTAAAGTGTTTTCACTAAAAGCATTCCACCCAGATCAGTGCAACACATCTTAAGGCAATTCTGAGGTATCAAGACTTCCAAGAGCTTATAGACCAGAGAGAAAAGAGGCGTGCATACCTGGCCCTGGCCCATGTCATCCAGGTGTGAGCTGTGTACCCAGGACAGCTGGCAGGGCGCAGAGGAGAGGTGGTGAGCGTGAGTGGGAGGGGATCCAGGAAGGCTTTACAGAGAAGGTGGTTTGACTGAATGCTGAGGAATAAAGAGGGGTTCTGGAGGCAGAAGTTGAAAGACCAGTCTGAGCAGGAAAGATAGCCGCTCTCTGAGGCCTTTCTCTGAGACTTCCCCTTCCAGGAGTGGCTTCCAGAGGGGTTTGCAGAGAGAATTGCTCAGCTGGACACCCAGTCTCCTGTTACCAAGATCAATGGTAAGAGGCAGAACTGTGTTTTTTCACGCTCTCTGGGTGGGAAATCCTCAAGTCTGGGAAAATCCACCCACGCCATCACCTCCATGCCCTGCCCTCCAGCCCAGCCCCCTCGTTTGAAGGTGAAACACTTTCAGACTCCCCATCCACCACCCGGGGAAGCATGGCGATGCTCTAGAGAAAGGACCCTGGAGTGGGTGGGCCTGACCGTCTCTTTGGTCCCTCAGTGGCTGTGGACAGGCTGCCCAACTTCCTGGCAGCACCCAATACTCCCACGGGCCAGCCGCTGCCCCATCACCAGTGCTCCATCCACCTGAACTGTGAAGACACCCTCCTCCTCCATCAGGCCTTTGAAGATGCCACGGATGGCCTGCCGTCTCACAGGTGGGTGGCCCCTGGGACTTTACATCCCCTGGAGGTTCTGACACAGGGACCTGGAGTGAGGGTGACTGTTCAGACGCAGCAGGGATCAACCTCTTCCACCTGGGGCTGAACCTTCCCAGTGACCTGGAATCTGCCTCAATCCATACATGAGTTCCAAGGACAGGAAGTGCACCCCGGGCAAGAAAGCTGTGGACCAGGGCAGCTGGGGTGAAGAGTGGGCCATGCCCAAGAGTGTCACGGCATAGCCCTCCAGAGGACTGCATTTGTGCTGGGAGAAGAGAAGGAAACGCTTTCTGGGAGAGAAAAGGAGGATTTCTGATTCCGTCCAACAGAGGGCACCCATTTGCTGAAACCCCGTTCCATGTCTTGTGTTGTGTCTTATAAGCTGCCTTCATGCAAACCCCTAAAAGTGTTCCCATCTCCTGCCCTGGTTGAGTCTCTATCCTACCAGAGCAGGTGGGCCCACCCTTCCATCCTGTCCACTGTGCAATGGACGCTTGCTGAAATCTGTGGGTGCCAGGCTCGGTACTTGGCACACATGGGGGGAGTGGGGTGTGAAGCAGACACAAAGCTTATGATGAGTGGCCACACAAACATTTGTGGCACAAGGTAAAGAAGACATGGGGCTAAAGAGAAAGGTGCAGGGCAAAGTTTACCCATTTTAAAATGTTTTGAGGCCCCTATTCTGTGTCAGGTTTGGTTCAGGGACCTGGGCACAGAGCAGCAAGCAAAGTCAACAAGGCCTCTGCCTGAGTTGCTGACCTTTCACTGGAGGGAGACAAGACAGTCAGCATCACATGCTGGTGATAAGTGCTAGGGAGAAAATAAAGGCAGGGGAGGGGAACGTTTGCTATATAAAAAGCTAATTCCTGTGATATTGGAACAGAGACCTGAAAGAAGTGAGAATACTGGTTTTGCGGATATCTAGAGAAGAGCATTCACATGGTGGGGTGCAAAGGCCCTGGGGCAGGAGTGTGCTGCTGTGTTAGAGACAGAGGTATGAGGCCAGAGTGACTGGGGAAAGAACCCGGGAGGGAAGGGGCTGAGAACCGCAGCAACTCCATCCTGTTGGGTTTTGTCACAGCTCCTGGCTTTCACGCCAGGAAAGTTTATGCTGAGCCTGACTTATAACCTCTGTCCTGGCCACTGTGTGGAGAAAAAGGGAGGGCATCTGTTGCAATTGATTACTGATGCAGAATCCAAGGGAAGGAGGACAGTGGCTTGGACCAGGGTGGGAACAAAGGAAGTGAAGTTAAGTAGCCAGTTTCTGGGCATATTTTGAAGGTTCAGTGATGAGACTTGCTGTTGAACAGAAAGAAGTACGATGTGAGTGAAAAGAAGGGCAATTAGAAAATTATGGTTGTTATTTATTGAAAAGGGGGAGAGGCTTGGGGGGAGGGGGGTTAAGAGGCATGGAGGTTGAGGTTGGGACAAGGTCACTGGAGATGCTGGTAGATGTCCAAGTTCAGAGGGAAAGTTGAGGGATGTGGGGGAGGGGCATTTCAGATGGCCTGAAGGATGCTCACAAGGTTGGTATTCATGGGCACCTGGTTCCGGGACTTCCCTTCCTCATCCTCAGGTACTGAACTCTCCAGAGGCTCAAGTCCCTATATACTATGATGTAATATTTTCATATAACCTATGCACATTCTGTGTACTTTAAATCACCTCTAGATGTTTTTTTTGTGTGTGGAGGTTACTGGGTATTGAACTCGGGGGCACTCAACCACTGAGCCACATCCCCAGCCCTTTTTTGTATTTTATTTAGAGACGGTCTCACTGAGTTGCTTAGTGCCTTGTCGTTGCTGAGGCTGGCTTTGAACTCGCCATCCTCCTGCCTCAGCCTCCCGAGCCACTGGGATTACAGGCATGCACCACCATGTCCAGCTAGATGTCTTATAATACACAATACAGTGAAATGCTATCCAAGTAGTTGTTATACTGTATTGGGGGAAAGCCTGTGTGTGTTCACAGACACGAGTCTTGTTTGTTGTTAATATTTTCAACTTGTGTTTGGTGAGTCCATGGAACCCTCAGATATGGAGGCCTGATGTTTTGGGAGGTCAGAGGGAAAATGTGCTCTGGGTAGAAAAGGTGTTAGTTGCAGGCAAAGGCACTGGGGCTGGATGTGGCTCACAGGCCACAGTTGGGTGCTGGAGCAGCCCCAGCAGCTCTGTTTGCTGGGCCGACTCAGGAACAGGTTCTGGTCAGGTGGGGTTTGCTGGTTGAAACCAGGCCACCTGGGCACCTGCTGTCTGGGTCCTGGCACCTTCTTGTTCTCACTGTATGTCCAGACCCTGGAGACATGGAGTTGGGGGCCCTGGTTAGAGTTCAAGGTGTCTGGGGAAGGAAGGGGCTGGGTCAGACCAGCAACTAGGGGGCCTGAGGCCTGGCAGGGGCTGGGGCTAGGGCTGGAGGTGCTCCTCAGGGGTGGTCTGGACTGCCCTGGGGTTGGGTAAATAAGCCCTCTGGCCTTCGAGTGACAATGGGCCCAGCGTTGGTGTCATCTCAGGGCCTTCATTTTGTCCCAATTCGTCTCAGAGTGGCTCCCCAGCCCCTTCTCTTCAGCCTGACCGTCTCCTCCCCTGCATCGCAGGCCCATGATTGAGCTCTGCATCCCTTCCTCACTGGACCCCACCCTGGCTCCCCCTGGCTGCCATGTCGTCTCCCTCTTCACACAGTACACGCCCTACACGCTGGCTGGAGGCAAGGTCTGGGATGAGCAGGAGAAAAATGCCTACGCAGACAAAGGTAAAGAGGGCTTCACACCAGCCAGCCTCCAGGTGACAGCTGGTCCTGTGACCAAGTAGACCCCTCCCCTCCTGACCACCTCATTCAAGATGAACACCTGCATGTGCTGTCCCGAGAGGAGAGAGGGTTGCCCAAGGGAGGCTCACGTCAGCATGGTGACCGTCTGCTGGGTTGGGTGCTAGGCTAAGAAAGCCAAAGGATATGGTTCCTGCCTCAAGTGCTGGAAGTCTAGTGGGGAGGCCATTAAGAAACCGAACACGGGGCTGGGACTGTGGCTCAGTGGTAGAGTGCTCGCCTAGCATGGGCGGGATCCGGGTTCGATCCTCAGCACCACACAAAAATAAAATAAAAATTAAAGATGTTGTGTCCACCGAAAACTAAAAATGAATATTAAGAAACTCTCTCTCTCTTTAAAAAAAGAAAAAGAAAGCAACTGCTATCGTTCAACATATTTTATTGAACAAAATGAGGAAGCCCTGAGCCAGAAAGAAAAACTTACAAAGGAAGGGACTTTTGAACTGGGCTTTAAAGGATGAATAGGAGTTAGCCAGAGAGCAAAGGGCTTTGCAAGCAAAAGAAACAGCTTGAACAGAGCAAAGAGGTGAAAAAGAGGAGACAAGCAGCTTAGCCTCTGGGGTTGGGTAAGGAGTTGGGAAAGAGTGAGGCCTGGGTTGGCTAAGACCCATAGGCCTTTATGATGAATTTTTTATTTACTGTGGACTGTTTCTTGTTTTGCTTTGTTTTTTACTTACTAGGTATAATTTGCATAGGATAAAATGAACCCTTTTAAGCATATGCTTTAATGAGTTTTGGTAGATTTTCCAAGCTGTATAACTCTAACACCTCCCTCTTCTTCTTCCCAACACCATCTCATTCCCCTGCCGCTGGACACCCAGTGTTGGACTGCATCGAGGCCTATGCCCCTGGCTTCAAGGGCTCTGTGGTGGGCAGAGACATCCTCACACCTCCTGATCTGGAGAGAATCTTTGGGCTTCCTGGAGGGGTGAGTCTAAGCCTGGGTCTCTCATCATATTTCTCTTCCTGCACCCCACTTTGTGGCTGTGTCCCCTGGGCCTTACTTGGCCTTCTTCAAATGGGAGGATAGTGGCAGAGACCATGGTTGAGAGGGGACAGAGAAGTGGTCAGACCTAGAGAATGGGGGAGGGATGGGGACATGGAGACATAGGTGCCACCTGAGAAGGCCACCAGGGTTATGGCCCTTCTGCCTCCTTATCCACATCATCCTCTCCCATCTGACTTTCTTTAGAAGGAGCTCCCTCCTTAAAGAAGCCCGTCCTTGCGCTTCCCTTCAATTTATCAAATTCCAGAGGCCAGAGGCAGGGAGCCCAATTAGGAGATCAGCTTCAATATGGCAGCCACCAAACAGGTGGTTATTGAGCCGGAACAGTGGTGAGGCCAAAGTGAGATCTGCTGCAGGTATGCAATGCAGAGACGGCATGGAAAACCATGCTACTGTCTCATTAGTGCCTAGTGTTGATTGCACAATAAAATGGTGATATTTGAGATTAGGCTAAATAAAATTATCATTGTTATTATTTAGTTACTGAGGATTGAACCCAGGGCTTCCCACATGCTAGGCAAGCACTCTACCACTGAGCCACACCCCACCTCCTTCTACTTTGTTTTAGGACAGGGTCTTGCTGAGTTGCTGAGGTTGGCCCTGAACTTGTGATCCTCCTGTCTCAGCAGCTGGAGTAGCCAGGATCACAGGTGTACGCCACAGTACTCAGATCAATAAGATAGATTATCAACATTACTATTATGGACCAGTTTGCTTTTACCTCTTAAACGTGGCTACGTTTAAGTAAATCTAAAATTACCCGTGTGGCCCTCGTCAGGGTTTTCCTGGGCAGCGCTGGTCCAGATGCAGAGTGGAGATGGCCAGGCAGCGGGAAGGAAGGAAATGGGAGGGAGAGCATGCCGCGGGGCAAGTAGGGCTCTGTGGCCTTGGTGACAGTGCACTTGAGGAGGTGCAGGCAGAGGGCGGAGGTGATGCCAAGGGTCCAGCCTGGCGGCTGAGGAGAGGAGCAGACTTGGGGGAGAGCATGGCTCAGCTTGGGGCATGGTGAGGGGGCAGTGGGAGCAGCATCTCCAGCAGGGGTTGGTGACCTTGTCCAGGACTGACACATCTAACCTTGCCTTGTCCACTTCTAGCCCAGGGATGGTCTGACCCAGGCAGGTGGAGCAGAACCTCACTGGGGTCCCATTGACCCTTGTCTGTCTTTGACAGTGATCCTGATGGAGCCTGGACCCCAGGAGTCCAGGGTGGCTTAGTCTAAGAAACGAGGTCCCGCAGAAGCAGCCTGCAGTCAGACAAATCAAATGCTCCTATTTTTCAGACATACTGAGGGAGATTCATGGTTTATGGAAAATCCCTTACAACCCCCCATTTCTTTCCCATTCAGTTTCCTCACCCTCTGAGGATGCCCCCCTCCTGGCCTTCTTTTATCCTGAAAAATGTCTCTGGAAAACTTCAGCCCCAGCCCTAGGACACGTGCTTTTCCTCTCTCATCCTCATCCCTTTCTGCACTTTTAAGAACCCAAGAAAATATCTTGGAAGGAGAAGGACTTTCTTTTCAGAACAGGGGAAGGGAAGAAACCTCGCCAGGGCAATAAAGACCACAGCACTTGGATGTTAATGGCCACGGCCCTGCCTCCACAGAACATATTCCACTGTGCCATGACCCTGGACCAGCTCTACTTCGCCCGCCCAGTGCCCCTGCACTCCAGCTACCGCTGCCCTCTCCAAGGCCTGTATCTGTGTGGAAGTGGGGCCCATCCTGGTGAGTGATCCCGCTTCCTTGTGTGGGCTGTGAGGGATTGCAGGAAGAGGAGGAGGCTGCAGGATGAGGGCGAGAGGGGACGTGGACCCCCCCACCCCAGCAAGCCAGGCCCGTGTTCAGAATTCTCTGTGCAGGGTGAGCCCACAGGGTGCCTCTGCCTGACTGTCCATGACCCTCAGTTCAGCGCACACCGCCCGCTCCTTGGGTTTAGAATGTGTCCCACTGAAGGCATCTTACCCAATTCCAGTTTTGTGTTAAGGGAGACCCATGTGCCTAAATTCCCAGCCCATATATGAGAACAGAAAAGCTGACTAAAGTTCTTCAACTTTAAAATTCTTTCCTGTGCCACTTCAAGCTAACTGGTTGGGATGAGGCTGCTGCTTCCTACTGACACTTCCTCTGAGCTCTGCGGGCCTCAGCCTCTTAGAAAGGGCTCTACTCACACGTCTTCCCCCTCCAACCTCATGCTGGTATTTTTTATTTGCCTGCTAAGGGTCTCACCAGGTAGCGTAGCATTCAGACTGCAGAGCAGACTGAGGGAGGTGGTGGGAACTGTGGCCCTCCCCTGCTGTGGCTGGAAGCCTGGAGGGAGCCCAGAGTCTCTTGGAGCAGTTGTCCCAGGGTCTCTGTAAGCCCTGCCTCATCCCTCCCTGCTGGGTTTTTTGAGAAAAGCTTTGGTTCCAGGAGGAGGTGTTATGGGAGCCGCTGGACGAAATGCAGCCCATGTGGTCTTGCAGGACCTCAAGAGCTCAGGACACTGAACCAACTCTGACGCAGGACAAAAATCAGCCCTGAGCCTCTCTGTCAGACCTGGGCCCGGCTGCCCAGGAAGCTGTGCTCCAGTGGACACTGCTTGAGGCAGCCAAGTTCACAAGACTCAAGCCATTATTTTAGAAGAAATGTGCAAGTTACATGTAGCACAAGTTAACCCGTGCCCCATGCCTCCATGAATGAGCTGGTTTGTTTTATTAAAAAAACAATGTTTTATACAAATTGTTGGCTTGTGCTTTGTTTGTGATAGCAGAACTGTATCATAAGAGGTGGGATGAGCTCATCTGAGATACGCAGTGTTCTCACATCTGTTCACATCAGAAGAGTGTGATCCCGGCATCCTCTTCTGCGTGGCTGGGTCCCCTGACCAGCGGATGGAGGATTGCCTTGCAGAGACCCAATCAATGGCTACCACATTCCTGTCACTACAGGAAGGGTCCACAATCCCCAGTGACCCACTAAGTCACCCACAGGGGCATGGGCCTGAGCTATGCTTGTCATCTCAAGCCATCAAAACCTCCAGTCAGGCAAATGGCAATCAAGGGTGACTTTGAAGTGGGTTCAGCTGAGGCCACCACTCCCGATTCCAAAGCACCCAGGCTTCTGCTTCCCATGACTTAGGCCTGTGCAGCACCAAAGCCTTTCAACATAAAACTATGTTGTCCTAAAGCAAGTTGTTGTCAGAAAGACTCATACAGATATCCCCCTGGCAATGCACCCCCTCCCAGCCACCTCTCAGATGTCAGCAGACAAGGCCACCATCCAGAGCACCCCCCTCTGTAGAGGAGACACAAGCTTCCTGAGCGTCTCCTCCCTTCTTTCCCCAGGCAAATTTACACAGGTGGAGTTATCCTCATCCTTACTTAATGATGATAAACCCAGATTTCTCAAGTGTAAAGAGTTGTTTTAAAGATCCAATAAGACAATAGATCATGTTTTAGTTCAGCACCTGGAGCATAATGAACATTCAGTACAGAGCAGAGGGATTGCTGCTGATGTTAATGGTGAAGATGTCACAGTGGTTTCTGTCATCTTTTCCATCCAGCCTTGAAACTAGCCCATGGCAGGCACTGTCACCAAGACAGTGCACAGCACTTTTTGGGTTCACCTAGCTTTCTCCAAATTTCCTTGCATTCAAAATAGGTGCAACGGACTTGAGTTTATTGAAAATTCAGTTTGGGTCAGGATTGCTGGCTTGTTGAGATTTACTTTTCTCAAAAGATCTCTTGGGGCCCAAATGGGGAAGAAGATATAGATATAGATATAGATATAGATATAGATATATGCTTGGAAAGAAAGAAAGGCTGGAAAGGGGGAAATGAAATAGACTCCCTTTAAAACCAGAAGCAACTTTGTAATAACAGCTTTTTTTTTCTTTTTTCTTTTTTTTTTTTTTTTGGTACTGGGGATTGAATTCAGGGGTGCTCTACCTCTGAGCTACATCCCAAGCCCTTTATTTTTTTAATTTTGAAATAGGATCTTGCTGAATAGCTTAGGGCCTCACTAAGTTGCTGAAGTTGGCCTTGAACTTGTGATCCTCCTGCCTCAGCCTCCTGAGTTGCTGGGATTACAGGCCTGGGCCACTGTGCCTTTTCTACATCCAGCCCTTTGTACTTCCTCCTGCTGAGGACAGACACCAAGGAAACTGAAACTGACTAAATCTACATTAGTATACTTCCTGCCCTTTGTTCCCCTGAGCCTCCTCTTATGTCATAATAACTTTTCACACACCCCCGCACACTTCCCCTCAAGATGGAGATTTAAGACAGAAAAGTCTTTATCTTCCTCAAAGTGGGCTTTGAATAAACCCATTTTCCTCCCCAACCTGTCTCCCAAGTTTGAAGTGACAGTGGTAACGCTTTCCCCCACGGTGAAGGAGGGATCCGAGGAAGGGAGGGAGGAAGCAAGGTCCAAAGCTGACTAGTATCTTACGTAAGACGTGTTTTTCACCCTCCAGCAGAGCACTTGTACGTCACCCTGGGCCCCCACAGCAGATGGTCCTGGACGTGCCCTAACAGGGAAGAGAACAGAAGTGAGTAACAAACAGGAGCTTGGGAAATTCTCAGAGGCCTGGGGTGGATCACATCAGACTTGGTCTTTAAAAACACTAGTGATTATTTCTCTGGTAAACAAAACTCACCACAACTTAATGTAGGAACTTTTAAAAGTATAATAAAAAAGAAATATAAAACTCACACAGGTTCTGACCTGCAGAGAGAATCATGGCTACCATTTTATAATATTTCCAACTAGTCTTTCACACAATAGGTTTCATATTCTCTATTCTATCTGTGGGCTTTACATGTCTTTCTTCCATTTTATTTCATGTTGGAACCACTTTTCAGAATCACAAAAAGTCTTTGAAAACATTTTTTTAAAAAACTGCTGAATATTCTCTAATAAGGATGAATCGTAATTTATGATGAGTTCATCCTTGGGCTTGATTGCTAATTACCACCAGCCAAAGGCTGGCCAGCTACTCTTTTATGGTCTTAATTCTCTTTTATTGACTCTGATCACAAGGATGCAGCTGCTGTCCAGCCGAACATTCCTTCTAAAAGAGGAGGACCTTGGAGGAGGTCGGGGGAGAGGGAAAGAGCTGTTTTAGCACTGTGAGGAAGAACTTCCCACTGTTCAGTGATTTCCCATCCTGTGTCTCATGTCTCTGAATGATAACATTTGGTCCAGATGGAGAGTCAGGATCAGGCCTTCGCACTATAGGGTGCCTCGTCTCCTACAAGCTCCGGCTCATGCCAACCCGCTGAGCAGGGTGGGTTCGTCTTACCCAAAGTGATGGTTCGGCAAATTGGCTATGAATCAAGCAAATGGGTCCCTTGCTGACTGCAGCACATAAAACTCTTACAAGGATAAATAAGTCAGGGCCATATCATTTCCTGATTTATGGTTGCCTGTTTCCCTGAAGCAGGAGGAGCCCTTCTTTGGAGGCCCTCCTATAAGAGCCTGAGTTCTCAGGAAGCTCACCTGGCTAAATCATTACGCCTCAGAGTATTGCTGCACTAAAGGCCCCAGGATATGGTGACCAGAAGCTCAGGGACATGCAAGGTTTACAGCTCTGGGAGGGGTTCAGCTGTCCTAGTGGGAGGAATGAGAGATGTGTCTGACCAGCTGTGGGTTTGAGTTGGCAAAGCTGTTGAAATCCGCTGAGTTCTGAGGGATGCTGACTTCACTCCCATGGTAAAGGCTGGCATGCAGAGGGCAGCAGAGCACAGGGTGGCATTCACTGGGGGAGAGAGGCACATGGGAAATTAATAGAAACACAAAGGGAAAAAGAGAGAGAGAGAGAGAAATGCACATGGGCAGCAAACCTGAAAAAATATTTAACTTCACCTGCAATCAATGAACTGAGATTAAAGGCAATCATGTTTTACCTACAAGATTATTTGTATTAGAAAATTACCATGGGAGGGGGGACACTCTTGTATGCTGTTAGCAGTGGAATAAATTTGTATTTGAGACTCAAAATTTGAGACATCCGTGTACTTTGATGGGTTATTCCACATCTTATCACTTTGCTTAAGAAAATATCATTGATGTCCCCAAGGATTTAGGTACAAGGATATTCAAGCAGTTTTATTTGCAGTGCTAAAATATTAGGGATAGCCTAAATGTCCCTAAATAGAGAATTAAATTAAATGTGATAACTGCATGTGACAGGATAGCAAACAGCAATTTAAAATTTACATTTTGGAAGAAACTTTTTGTGATCAAATGGAAAAATGTTAGTAAAAAGTAAGATGCGCCAAGATGCTAATTTTGCTGATTGGTTGGTAGATCTAGATAGAAATAGAGATAGAGATTGCCGCAGTCTGGCTGGGCACAAAATCACGAGCCACTCAAGCAGGAACAAACTTTATTTTTGAAACTGCCACCAATGCCTCGTAGGCTCCCGGGAAAATTGCCGAGGGACACACACACGTGGCGTTTTCCTGGACCCCAACAGGAAGTCCCTCCTCCGGAATTCCCTCCTACCGCACTTCCCCAACCAATGGGAACTCTCCAGGAGTCCCGTAGCAGGCCGAGGTGGACAGCAGGAGTCCAATATCCATATGAATGCAGATCTTAACATAATCATATCATCTCAATGGCTTGCTGGAGGCACCTTTCAACCCAAAATGCCATGCATCATATTACTTGGTTATGGCTCTTAGCAAGAGATAGCTGTTTTATACATTTGTAATTTTTGCATATACATAAACATACAGAGAGAACAGAAACAAGGAAGGAGAGACAGGAAAAGATGGAGAAGAACAGAAATGGGGGAAACTGAGGTGGGGCAAGGTACAGCCCAGTGTTAGCACTAGCTCCAAGTCTTTCCAGCCACTTGGAGGCAGTTTGCCATGGTCTGCCCTACCCGCATTTAACCTGTTTTATCTCAAAAACAAGCCCCAAGTGAATGGATGGGGCTTTGGAACTTTGTCTAAAATGATGATCGAGGCCTGTTCCAAATGATTTGTGCATTACTTGTGCTTTGATGTATATTAATTGGTCAGAAATCAGAGGATTTCAGACATGGTGGGACCTTGGAGACCTTCTGTGGAGGCATGGGTCCTTAATCAAGGAGAAGGCTGGGATGGTGTTTCAACAGCCCACCAGGGATCCTGTGTCGCTGGAAGGTGATTGGAGAGGAGGACCCATGCCTGGATTTCCTCTGGTTTTATCTGAATCTTGTCAGTTCTGTAATGCAAGTTGTCCCATCAGTCCTCAGTTAGTTAAATATATCTTTGAGTAATAAGAGAACTGGAAGATGAATTAAATGATCCTGAGCAAGGGACCTTTCCTCAGTATGCAGAAATCTTCCAGAGCAATGCTCATCTTAAGAAAAAGCAATAGTGAGAAGGTATCTGAGCCAGACCTCCCCTTTGTCTTCTGTATCAGTTGGCCTTTCCTCCTGTTTGCTCTTTCAGGACCTGCAGAGAACATGTAGTTGGCTCAAACGCTGTTTCATATATAAAGATGGTGCCTTCCTCACAGAGAAGATGTGAGGGTCATCTGTTAAACTTAGCTCACCCAAATTTGTACGCCATGTGACAAACCGTATGCCCCAGAAATTCCACACCCAGGTGAGCAGCCACCAGAGTTATGCTTATGCGCTCACCAAGAGCTATGCACAGGTTAATTATCCCTCATGGGAAGTGCATGGTACTAAAGAACTTCAGATTTTGGAGTTTTCTAGATTTTGAAATATTTTCATCAACCATACT